AGGGCTGGGCAGGTCAAGGTGGTCGTGCCCCAGGGAGGGGAGTGTGAATGTCTGGAACTTGTCGGGGCTACCAAGATGCCCTGGTGTGGGAACCGAGATGCCCACTCCTCCCGGACAAGCGAGTTGGCAAAGGCTTACCACCTGGCTCGGCGTGTGGCCGATTTCTGGAGTGTACCTACTCCCGCCGCGGTAGATTTCGAGCCACCAACATGATGCCAGCCAGCTGGCAAAATTTCTGAAAACATCCCAGTTTGCTCTCGGGAGCCAGAGCAAGCCAGATGTGGCTCCCCTGATGGGCAGCGCAGGTGTCCAAGCTGGGACCGAGCCCCCCCCACCCCGCCCCGGCCCCACGGAGGCTGTGTGCGCATCCAGACTAGAGGCAGAAGAGGCAAAGTGGGGCCTCCATGTGGGAGTGAGATGGTCCCGCCTCCAGGGGACAGCGTGGGTGTCCCTATTGGAGAATAGTGGGTTGCCAGTCTGGGAGTGAGCAATTCGGGTTCCCCTTGGTGGACGTGGAGACCTCCAGGTTGGAGACGAGGGGGTCCGGGCGTCAGGAGGAACAGCGTGGCCCAGACCTGGGAAGGCGAGCAGCGTGGGCACCCAGACCAGGCCTGCCGCCCAGGGTGGCGGGCACTGTGGTATGACCTCGGTCTCCCCACCACGTTCGGGGACCCTCAGGGACCTGCTGAGCCGGGGCCTCGAGGACCAGCTTCTCCTGCCCGGCAGTGACCAGTTTGACAGCGTCCTCTGTGGCCTGGTCACCGATGTGGACCTGGATGGGCGGCCCGAAGTCCTGGTGGCCACCTACGGGCAGGTAGGACCTGGGGAATGGGACCACTGCTGCCTGTCCCCTCCCACTGCCCCACATCCCCATGTGACCCTCGCCCCCACCCCGCCCCCACAGGAGCTGCTCTGTTACAAGTACTTCGGCCCAGAGTCCGGGCTCCCCGAGGCCGAGCGCGGATTCCGCCTGCTGTGGCAGCGAGGCTTCTCCAGCCCGCTGCTAGCCATGGCGCACGTGGACCTGACCGGGGACGGGCTGCAGGAGCTCGCCGTGGTCTCCCTGAAGGGTGTGCACATCCTGCAGGTAGCTGGGCTTCCCGGGTTCGGTTCCCCTCGAAGCAGAGCCTGAGCTGGAGGCTTTGGCACACCTGTTCTGTTGAGGGCACGCTCTCCCCAGAAACACGGAAGGGGACAGGGAGAAGCCCCACTAGGACGTGCGTTCAGGCGCTACCGAGGCACCCCCCTCCTCTGCCTTATTATTAGCCTATCCTTTGTTGTCAAGGTCTCACCTTTGTCTCCCCCCGTGCCTCGCCCCTCGGTGGTCTAACCTCAGCCTCCCTCCCGTACAGGGTAGTGTCTCTGCCATGTTTCAGTCCTTCCCTGTCCCTTCTGAGTTCTAATCTCACACCTGTACATTTGGGTCTAGGCTCTGTTCCTCCCACTGGAAATTCAACGAAGGCCGTCCTCCTGGGTCTAACCTTCACCCCATCACAGAGACCCATTCCCACCCCACATGCTGCTCTGCTCTCCAACCTCCCGCCACAGCCGAGCTCCCGCGTGGTCTAACCTGCGCCCCTCCTGCCCTGTCTCAGCTGGGCCTGCTCTTGTTTCCTACAGCACAGCCTGGTCCAGGCATCGGAGCTGGTCCTGACCCGGCTTCGGCATCAAGTACAGCAGAGGAGACATCAGTCGCAGAGGCTTGGGGACAGCGCTGGTCTGGGGCCCGCTGAGACCTCGGCCTCCTGACCTCCCACCCCACTGCCTGCCCCGGAGCTAGGGGCAGTTCACTGGAGTAATCGCCCCTAGGCATTCATGGTGGGGAAGCCTCCTGAAGGAGGGGATGGTCTCCCCAGGCCCCCCAGGATGGTGGAGCTGGGAGTTCTTGCTCAGGCTCTGCCCCATTGTGCCCTGCAACCCTGGCTGATGCACCCCTGTCTCGTACCTCAGTGTCCCCGTTTGACAATGGGATGATCTCACCTGACCCCCCCTTTTGCCCCCAGTGAGAATTGGTCAGCCAATGATTATATGTCCAGAGGAAGCGGACTTTGACTTGTCTTCATTCTTTCATTCTGGCAAGTGTGTGCACCTGCTGTGTGCCAGGCTCAATGTTGGGTGCTGGAATCGCCCAGAAGAATAGGAGAGAGGGGCATATGAGGAGAGAAAATCCAAGGTTAGACCTAGAAGCGGCACTGAGGTGAGATCATAGTGTAGACCTCAGAGAATAGAAATGAGGCCCTGCCATAAAGGCTGAAGTGAAACCAACGTGGAAGAGATTGTAGAAGCCAAGGAAAAGGACTGAGGTTAGACCCCAGTGGGGCGCCCTGGATCTAAGGTTAGACCCCAGTGGAGGGCTCTGGATCTGAGGTTAGACCCCAGTGGAGCACCCTGGATCTGAGGTTAGACCCCAGTGGAGCACCCTGGATCTGAGGTTAGACCCCAGTGGAGCACTCTGGATCTGAGGTTAGACCCCAGTGGGGC